CCACAGAGACAGCAGCCCAGGAATTGCATGAGGAGAACAGACAAGCTCCACAGAGACAGCAGCCCAGGAATTGAACCCAGAGCCCCAGCACTTCCCAGCAGCATGGCCAACCGCTGCAGCCCATGGCACCCATCTTACTATAAATAAAAAACACAAATTTGAACATGGCCGTGTGTGTAAATTGTGTATTCTTGTTGAGTGCACGTTTTTACAACAGTCGTATATGGCTAAGAACCTCTGCACTAGAAATTCTGGTTCGTTAATCATATTTAGCAATAGATACTGTAAAATATTATAGTTGGTTAAAAGTACATTATCTATCATCTTTTCTGCATACAATTAATAGCAGGTACTAATAGACAGAGAGCATAGGACAATACAATACTTTCACGCCTGCAGCCAAATAAACACAGCAAACATCCTTTGCAACCAGCATTGCTACTTTCCCCAAAGGCAGCTCGCACCCTGAGCCGGGCACCCCCCCCCCCTCGCCCCTCACCTGTCTGAGAATGAAGCTGGTCGAGGTTGTGCTGCCATCTGATCTCTTCAGCCGGCTCCTCCGGGACTGAGTCCCTCTGGTCACCTGGTTCAGAAACACTTAATTACCCCCCTGATAGGTGGAGACCCCCCCCCCCAGGCCCCCCAGTAGAGGAACCTCCGCCTGCAACCCCTAGAGTTTGGCGGACGCGACGGAGATACAGCAGGGCCAAGATGTTGACAGGCAACAACGTCATCCACGTGCAACGTGGGAGATGAACCACTTCCAGTTGGCAAGCTGGTTTCCTGTGGGGCAATCACGAGCTTTTCTCTGCCGCCACAGCCTCGAGTGTCACCTGCCACACGGAACCCGGGAGCATGTACCCCCGGCTGGAGAAGCCGTCTCACAAACGCCCCTTCCGGGGCAACTGCATCTGCACATGCCACTGCAGGGCAAGGAAAAGCTGGAGCACTAACTGAATCTGAATACTGGGATTGGGGAAAAAAACGTTTCAATGTGTTGTAAAATACAAAGCTGACGAGTCATTTGCACCATTTATATGATATGCCATCATACGCCAAAGCAACCTACCACACATTCTAAGGCTGTTTTGTGCTTAACATCATCTCTAAGTAAATGGTGGCCATTTTTATACAGTTGGAGATTATTCACATATAAACTACATACTGTACATGAATTTGCACATATGCACATTTTTCAGTTATGCAAATACGTCATCGGGAACGTTAGGAAAACTGACCTTATTAGACTAGGCTAATTGTACCCAGATGATGTGCTCTATTTTCAGCTGAGGAAAAGATTGCTATAGAATGATGCTCAATGTGATGTTTAAACATCAGTAACTCAGCTCCAGTCCCTCTCTTAAGGGACTGTTTTCAAACAAGGCCAAATTAACTAGGTCATATTTTTGTTATACATAAACAATCTTGATTTGGTCACTACAACTTCTTCTTTTTCATTTAAAGACAAGAAATATTTTGAATTTTTATACTTAAACCCTGAGAAATAGAGAAAAAAAAACCAACATAATATTAAATGACCTACTTAGCATATGTAAACTGGATGTTTCATACTCCAGCATTTTTCAATACCCATTGTAAAAAAATGTTTGACTGCAACACATCAATAGTATGATTTTCAAAGGTTTGTCTTCCAGGGAAAAATCACAACCTTGAATTTTGAAATTAAAATCTGTCATAGCAAAGCATTTTAACAAATACAAACAGCACATTTTACAAGATACCTTTTTGGAATGTAATTTATCACTAGAGAGAAACACCACCTTTTCCCGTGTAAATGTATACAAAGCAAAGCAGTGTTGCTCACATAAAGTCTCACTTTCTTCACCTAGTTAACTGTTCTCATTTCATATTTTAAGGAAATCGGACAAAATATAAAAAAATATATGGTGAATAGCTGAAATACACCCACAAAACAGTGTAAAAACTAGAGGGGTGATTCCTTTTAAAAACTTTCTTCCTTTCATCATCCAAAATCCAAAATTATTTAATGGTTGAGCACATTACATAGGAGTTAAGGCGACATTTGTGCTATTGGATACGACAAATCTAAGAAAATTTGCAGAACTTCAGGACAGATTGAACTTTCTTTTGAAGATCTTTAACAAACTTGTGCAATAGTAGTATATGCGTGAAGATCAAAAAGAGAATTGATAGACTACTGCAGCAGACAAATTCTGTATTTTTCTAATGCTCGTTTTAGCAGGACCAGCCAAAACTGAAAGCAGAGCAGGGAGAAAACGGTGCTCTCTGTGTCTTACCTGAAAGATGGGTGTTTGCAGTCCATCCCCGAGCTTATGTCTGGCGTATAGGTGTCTGGACATCTCCGACAGATCATTTGTCCAGCTTTGAGCTTTGCTTTCTCCCCCAGCCAAATGGAAGTGCGAGTAATGAATTGTCTTCTCCAGCCTCACTTTCACACGTTAAAACTGATGATTCCCTCTGTTACTGTAGAGCCTCATTACCTGAGGCTGAAAACAGCACTGATTCAAAGTTAAAGCTACAGTGTGCACAGCACTCAAAATGGTGTTCGGTCTTCACTGCTAAGTTCAAGTCAGTTCTACAAGGATAGGGGGCATCTGAGAAGGACAGACCAACGACACAGATTTGCGCACACATAAGGAACATAAGATTTTTGAGGAAGCATTCAAACATGTAAATACAGCATTTGGGGTAAAAATGTGGACTTGAGATCTCAACATTAAAAAAAAAATGTATTAACAAAGACAGTGGGATGCAAATAATCTGAAGCTTTTTACTGAAAGGGTCATTAATCCTTATGTGTAAGGAGCTGCAGAAAACTAAATATTTTACATGCTATGCAGTTTTTAAACAATCAAAGATATAAAATTATTCTGTAGATCACTAAAGGTTTTATAGCATAATTGATTAGTAAATGTTATAAGGGATCTGTAGGTGTTTTTCATATAATTATTTTCAAGCAAGTGAAATCTATTTTTAGAGTGATTAAATTGAACTTGATTCTCAGACCAACAACCACTGCCACATAAAACATTAAAAGTAGCTCCACTAAACTTCACAGATTAAAAATGAAATAACTATTTTATTCTAAAATGAAGCATTTTTAAAACTCTCCTCATAGGCAAACAATACAAAAACGTTGATATACAGTATATTAAATGAGTCCAATGCCCTAAATCTCTTTCAGATGAACTGAACACATAATATTACCAGAAGTGTGTTTTGACTGTATTACACATCAGTAAGGGATGTCAGTGCTTGACCCACTGTGGGGAATCAAATTAATTCAGGAACACATTTCTAACCAGTATGTTCCAAGCATCAACTGAAACTGCTAAATAAAGTTGTGCTGTAACCCTTGACGAAAAAGGATGATTTATGTATATTTAGAACATAGCTAGGGGACTCAACATGGATTAACCAGTAAGAGCACATGGTTCGTCCCTCCAGTCCGGACACCCAGAGCATGCGTTTCCCAGCTGCTGCTCTACCACGTGGAAGTGAACAACATCTGATGCAGCACTGTTGCCAATCTGCAGAGTGGGTACGGATGGGACCGTTTCTGCTAAAATGGATCTCGCATGCCTGCCTTCACAGCACTCTAGGCTCTCCGCTAGTTCACCGCAGGGCACAGCCGGCACTGGGACCCACAGGTGTGCATCTGGGAACCCCACAGCTCAGCAGGCCTGGCCAACGGCAGGTAAGAGCAGCAGAACTAAGCTGCAACCTTGCGAGAAACGTTTGCGAACACCAAATTCAAATTTAAAACAAATGGATTTTTATAGACCATTACCCATACTGCTGATGTCCTGTTGATGGATCCTTGTGAGAACCGAACCAGTTTCACAGCACGAGTTAAGCAGAGCCAATTAAAAACATGATACGTAACATTTCAACATTAAAAGTACCTTTCACACACAAACTGCAGGAAGGGGCTATATAATGTACACAGCCCACAGCAGCTACCACACAGCTTGAGATTCATTCAAGTCTTTTTAGTATCTTCTAGTTACTACAAATTAAAAACAGTTACAATGAAAATTTAATAAGACCTTTAAGCTTGTAAAAAGCTAATATATAAAAGCATTAAATATAACCATCAAAGAAAGTCTTGTATATAGTCCCAGGTATACAGCAGCTTTCAGAGTGAATTTATTTTATTTTGAAAGAAAAAAAGGCAGCCAGTGGCAAAGAAAATGTTTATAAAGTTAAGGTGCAATAAAAACAATGGAGAATATTTTACATCTAGTGTACAAGACTTCATGTGTCAGGTAAAGAAACAGTGTACAGAGTTTTCTCAGGGATTATAACAATCAGCTAGAAAAGAATCAACAATAAACATAAACTGATCTTTGCTTTGATTTTTTTAGACTCACTAAAAAAATCAAGCTGGTTTTATTTATGCAAATTGAATATCTAGCTATTTTTATCTCATTTACATTCACTTTTAAATTTAAAAAAATACCTTACACACTAACTTTTGGTCTGTGTCTATATTAAGCTGTTTTACACAAGACTTATTTTGGATAAGATGTCAGAAGGCAAAAGGAAAAAGTTAAGTTTTGTCCCCCCCATGTGAAAACAGGAAAGAAATATCTAATTAACATTTTCAAAAAGAAGACAGCAAAAATACAGAAATTACAAATATTCAATTAGAAGTCTAAATACTTCAACCTGATGGTGCAGAAAAAAATCATATTTTGCATGCTGAATTTCAATCTGTGTAATTCAAAAGTACAGGTTATAGATGTGTTAAAATCATTGTCCAACTTCCAGTCTTTTAATGCACACATAGATTATAGGTCTGAGAATGTTATGCGCATGTATTCCTCAGAAAACAAATCCTGAAGTAGGAAGACAAAAAGAACACATCATTCTCACAAACCACCAAGTCACCTGGTGAGGACAGAGCTGAGAAAAACGAGTGAATATCACCTGTCCAGAAGTGCACAATGCAGAACAGGATGGTTAACCAATTATTAGGCAGTACTAATCACATTTCAACTTTCAAAATGACCTTTAAGAAAACTAGAAAAGGTCTTCAACTTCCTAAATAGAACTAAAAACCTACATTGCTTCATTCTCACAAGCTACAACATCTTGCTTTTCACAGCTTTTGGATTAAGCCAATAAAAAGCAAAAAATGCTTTCTTAAAGGATTACATTTTAGGACAGGCTTAAAACACATAGAGTAAAACAAACAACTGAAGAACATGATTACTTAAGTTAATAAGTTTACATTTGGAAAGAAGTATAAACAGTGTGTTACACCCACACAGCTAGATTCAAATTATTATAACTAGATTAAAAATATTTTCATAATATACACCGAAATCTCGGATCGGTTTGGTGATCTGTCATTGTGGAATGTATGATAAGTCAAATCATGGAGCGCTGTTACTCTAACATTTAAATACTTCTTATGGAAATCAGTATACAACTAAAGAATGTAGATCACCAAGAAAATGTAAAATCATAAATGTATTCTGTTATCCTTCCCCATCACAAGACTCGTTGAAATGTGAAAACCTCAAAATGGGAAAAGGTAGCAATTTAAGTCACTGAAACATGACCAAAAGCTGGGCATGTAGAAAGCAAAGTTGGATTTTAAAACGGACAATCCTTATTTTCACAGTGCAGCAATGACATTTTATTGACCAACATCACAAAGTGGTGCATAAAGTTTAAATAAACAACTTTGCCCCTGCATTACACCTCGCTAAAATAAAAAAATCCTAAAATATTACATTGGCACCTTTATGCAAAGCTGTCAATGTATTGGAGAAAACTGATCTGTATGTGTTACTTACCTACCACTGTAGCATTATATCACTGTAAACTGTCATTCTAACTGGGAAGATGAAACTGTTTCAATGAAGATAATATAGCAAATGAAAAAAGACATTAAATTAACACACTTTTAATTAAAACATTTAAAATTAAATGGGATTCGTTATTTTTAATAGGCTTTTTTTGTATCTGCAGTTCGTGTCTGAGTCAACCATTCTTCCCGCCCTTCGTCAATATCGTTCACATCCGCCCAGGACAGAAGGACTGTGTCAACGCCATGATAAAACCCATGCTAGATAACGCTTTTATTGTATGTTTAAATTGGTTTCAAGGATACGTATCAACATCAATTGTAGTACTCTAGCTTAAAGGAGAGGTTGCTGGTAATAGTTTGCTTGCTGCTGGGGGCCAGGGTGAGAAGGAGCTGCCAAGGGATAGGCTGATGCTTGAGCCATACTAGTGTTCTGATAGGCAGACATGTCCATAGCCACACCCACTTGGTGTGGGTAAGGGGCGGGGCCTCCAGAGGACTGGTTCATGTAGCCTGCATTGACTCCAGCACTGAGGAGAGAAAGAACAAAAAACATTGATAAGTGGAAATGGAAATCATGTGCAAAATAAAAATTTGGAAATTTCAGCATCCCAATCGAACAAATGAAGGTAGAGACCCACTGAACTAACATTTACTGGAAATCAATATTATAAAAAAAATAAGACAAAAACATCCCAAAGTCAACGTCAAAAGTAACATTTCATTGTTTGACGACTCCAACATCAATAGCTCTCTGAGGTCACAGACTCTAGACTACAGCTGACGAAGTACATGCTTTTGAGGTGCTTCTCCCTCTGTTCTCAATTCAGCACAGCTGAAGCCAGGAAAGAGCACTAAACCATCAAGCAAAGTGATCGATTGGGCTGCATCAGTTTATCCATTTTCAATTTAATTTGCAAGCGAATACTGAGTTTTTAAAACTGACCGTAAGACGATTTCTTGCTCTGCTATATTCATTGTGACTTTTTTAGCATAGCAATATACAGGAAATATACGGTAAGTTTAATTTTAACTTGAAGAAGTGTTCCTGAAACATACTAATCCATTTTATGAGTTGAATAATGCCCACCGGCGTGCTGAAGTAACCAAAACACTGTCAGGGTGTACGCTACTATTTTGAACATGAGGTAACCATGAAAATGCAACACAGATCATGGGAAGGAAGAAAGAAAAGCAACATTTCTCATAATGCAAAAACAAACAGGCACGGGCTGTGTCGTGATAAAGCAACATCACAAGAGCCAGCAGTGATTTCACATGAATTAAATCTTTTCATTTCATTTGTGCATTTAAATCAACATACGAGTGTATTGCCAGAGACAGGATACCTCAGGTATGGAGCCTGCCCTGGCTGGCTGGTCACTGGGGCACTGACAGCAGGAGGGAGAGACCTCAGTGGTCCAGCCTGGTCAGGTCCCAGGCTGTAGCCTTGCCCAGGAACACCTGAGGCCATGTAGGCCCCACTTTGCGGCTGACCTGGGTAAGCCTGTTTTCAGAGATGAAAAGCAAATTCTTCCATCAAATTACGCAGCTCGGACTCAGACGTAGCCAAAGAATATTTTTATAGACACTCTCGTATGAACAGTACGAGGAAACAGTCAACCCAAGAGAAGAGACTACATTCAAACATTTCCATTGCAGCCTGCTTGAGATTTCTTTCAAATCTGATCAACTGCCATAACAAAAAAATGCCACTTTGATTGTGACTCAAGGGAAAGCTATGTCCCTTTACTGTTACAGAAAATATTTTAACAGCATAAGAAAACACAGAATACATGAAAAGTGCATTCAATAATATTTTTAAAAGGACAGACGCTTTCAATTAGAACTGTCTGAGATCATGACAAAACACATCACAGTTCTAAAATTTTGTTTCAAGGTATCCAAGTAATTTTTTTACAAACAAAATCAAGAACCGTAAAAAAAATATTCATCATCATTGCAGATACGCAAATTAACCAACTGTAGTGCCTGTTCTATGCTTAAATGAGAAAGAACAGCTTCCTTTTGCCAAATGTAGAAGAATTTGAGGATGATGAACACATCATGATAAATCAAGCCCATGTTTCTTTAAAAGCTGTCTGAGAAGCGTGTCCTTCATTTCTCCCACTGAATCCACAGCGGAGCTCTGACCTGCACTGGGACACCAGCTGACGTCTGTGGGAAATGTGCCTGGGGCTGCATCTTGGAATAGACAGAGTACATCGGAGCCTCATTCATGAGCTTGTTGTAGAGTTCTAAGGCTTCAAGAACTTTGACATTTAATTCCGACAGCTCAGAGTGTTTCCTGAGAAAAAACAACATTTTTGGAAAGAAACGTTCAAACCACCGTGAGTGAGCACCTTCATACTGCTCAGCCAAATAGAATTGAGGGTCAAGTCCTGTAAATAACACAGGATCCTCGTTAAATATTGAATCATTTTCAAAGACTTGCATAAAAATGAGAGAGGCAACATCTGCTGAACAATTTGTTTGCTCCCCTTAGTGAGCACTGAGAATTTCGAAACATGCTAGTGTCCACAAATGAGGGCCTTTTTTTTCCAATTTATCTCTAATAAGAAATGTACATAGATTGAGAGTCACACGTTAACATCTTCTCTGATGTCAGTAACCAACAACCTTATTTGTGTGATGTGTTTTTAAGCCTAAATCTAATCATGTGCAAATGGTACCACTAAAACCAGCAAGTCACATGTTGTAAATGTGCTGCTGTTGTGTATATTCATTGGCATACAAAAATAACAGTATTTTAAGGGTAACCTATAAAGGCATAGAGCAGTACTTTATTATAGAAGCACAGCTTGATGAGAGCTAGCAAATGACTAATACATTCTTTATGACTGAACTATGTAGGGGCTGCATTAGTTAATTAATAGTGACAGAAAGCACCTTGCAGTGCTTGGGATGAGAGCCGTCTCTGATCTGCAACAAGCTAGAGTATATCATTCAGAAATAACTAACACCGCTCACAGGCTACTCCTGCAATAAAATGTTACCAAAATGACTACATAGTCAAATTAAAATCTTTTCACTAATTCATTTTGTGACAAGTATTCAAATGAAAGTTTAAAAAAGGTCAGTCTGGTAAGATTATCAAAGAACAGAATTTATGCACAGGTAAAACATCATGAGTCAGATATTCCATGTGTTACAATGAACAGTACAAGTAAAAATTACCATCAGTCCCGCTTCAATACAAGGCTCTTGAGCATAGCTGAAAAGAGGTGCTGTGGGTATTTTGCAGACACTGAAGTTTCCACAAAAGATTCGATAAATACCCTTTTAAAAAAATATTTTCTAAGACCTTTTAGCAAAATTGCAAAATATTTTACCTGTCAATTTCTTCTAATTTTTCATCAATCATCGGGTTCATCTGCCGACAAACCTCTTTAAGAAGAAAAGAAAAGATGATATGATCACAGTGGTAGAT